GGGCGACGTCCCATAGCGCGGAAATACTCAGCGGAACGGAATGCGCGGAACCAGCGCGGCCAATCAGAGCTATTCCGCTTTCTTTGCCACCGCTTTTTCTGTTTCCCTAATGTCCCATTGAGCGGAACACGCGGAAGCGGATCACGCGGAACGATGAAAAAGATGACTTTTTTAATGTTATTTTCAACATTTATAATAATTAAAATAATATTTTACACAAATAACATAATATATGACAAAGTATTAACAATAAAATCTGTTTTTTCTGTAAAATATTTTTCATGTAAATGTAGAACTCTCCTACGATTGGTTGAAATCCAATTCCGCTGCCGTGTTTACCGCTTAATGGGACATTAGGAGAAATGCATCAGCGGAAACGTGTGCAATTCTAACCTGATATTGCCTGGAACGGATAATCTCTTCATACATCCAAAGACTATTATTAAATAATTATGAACAGAGTAAGTAATCAAATGCTAATGTGTTGATAGTTATAGTAAGAGATATATTAATTTATATAAAGTATAAATATGTTCACAGAAAATAAAATGTAATTTTTGTGGCTGGATAATGAGTAGCTCGTGTAATATTGATCAGCATAAATGTTTCGAGAACTATGAAGACGTCCACGATGAAAACCATGTAGTAAGAGAAAGTATGTAATTTTTCTGGTAAAAATTTTAGTTCATTTTATTTATCATAATTTTAATGAAAATCTTTTACGTTAATGCAGTTCCACGATGTAGTAATTATAAAAACTCGGAGATTACATCTAAAAATATTCTACATAGGATTTATAAATTGTGGATTTTATCTAGAAATAGACCATATTCTATATTTCAACACCAAGTAATTCGAAGACGAATAATTAAATTATATTTACTATATACAATAATTAAAAAGCGTAACAGACAAAGACACAAACGTCAATATTGGGTACGACCTATTTTCTCAGAAGAAAGAAGATTAATGCAGGGAGCAAGCGACAATTTGGTTCGTGAAATGGAGAATCTGGATAAAGACAAATATTTTAACTATTTCCGGATGTCGTTTGAAACGTTTGAACAACTACTAAGTACCATAGAACCAGACATTACAAAAAAAATCGTTGTTCGCACACCGATATCTGCACGCACTCGTTTGCAAGTAACCTTGCGATATCTGGCTTCTGGAGACAGCATGGTCTCCATATCATATGCTTTTCGCATTGCACACAATACTATTTCAAAAATTGTCCCAGAAACTTGCGCTGCAATTTGGAATTCTCTTAAAGCTACAGTATTTCCACAACCAAGTACAACTAATTGGCTGAATATCGCAGAAAATTTTGAAAATATTTGCCATTTTAACAACTGTATTGGCGCCTGTGATGGAAAACATGTTGTTATACAGGTAAAGAAACTTGCTTAAAGACATGTGAGTTGTATACACTTTTTATTATGATTTGTATTTCCATTTCGTAGGCACCACCAAACAGTGGTTCGACGTACTATAACTATAAAGGACAACACAGTCTCATTCTTCTTGGTATATGCGATGCTAATAGCTGTTTCATTGTCGTGGATATCGGTGGTGAAGGAAGACAATGTGATAGTACAATATTTCAAAATAGCGAGGTGAATAAGCGATTTTGCAATGGATCGCTTGAAATACCTGCGGCGAAATATGTTATGAATAGTATTATAAAATTACCATATGTATTAGTCGCGGATGAAGCATTCCCACTAACCACGTTTATAATGAGGCCGTATCCGCGAAAGAATCTTGATATGAGAAAAAAAGTATTCAATTATAGATTGAGTTATGCTAGACGATCAATAGAATGCGCATTTGGAATACTTGCTGCTAGATGGAGAATATACGGTAAACCTATAATTGCATCTTTGCCCACAGTTCGAAAAATTATTCAGGCAACAGTTGTTTTGCACAATTTTGTAATGTCTACCGAAAGAAATTTGCATGTAACACAGAAACAATATTCAAATTTTAGTACACAAGATCGTGCAGTAATTTCTAACGGCATGAGAAATATATCGATAAATCGCTCTTCAAATCCTGTTGAAGCTAAAAAAATTAGAGAAGACTTTGCAGATTTTTTCAATGACATTGGCGCGTTACCGTGGCAATGGGATAAGGTTATTAATAACGATTTTTAAATAGTGGCTAATATAATAAATATGTGATCAAAACGTTTACAAAGAAATTTTATTAAATAAAATTAGTCAGTCTTGTAAAATTGCACAATGTAATTTACAACATAGATTGACTAGTTTCAATCGTAAAGCAAAATCAACGTAACCATTTCATTATTTAACTCAATATAACTAAACAAAACTAAACAAAATTGAGCAAAATTTGTACTTACTTAGTAACAGAATAAAATGTTTATTTTTTAAAACAAAACTTAATAAACTGAGTTATTTATTAATTGTTATGTTGCTCTTCAACTTCCATAAGTTCGCGTAACCATTGAATCTCCAACTTGCTTCTTTCTCGATATGATAAACGACGAAGACCTTCGCCTAGCTTAAGCAATATCCCGTCGACTGCATCTGGCTGGTTTAACGGTTGGCATAAGGCTTTTAATAAACCTTCCTGTATATCGTCCTGTTCAGTGCTGTTAAGACGCTCTATAAAAATAAGATATAAAATAAGATGTAACTCCAGAAACAGAAATACAAGCAAATCTATGTTTATCTACTTCGTTTATTCTTTGATGCTTTGGCTTTAGATGTTAATGTTGCAAACGTATTTGAAGGTGTGAATGGTTCATTGAGTGTCATTTTTGGCGATATTGACTCGTATGATGTTTTAAGCGAATCCACATGTAAATCAATTGAGTCAGAGCAGCTGCTGTCAGATCGAAAATTGGAATCTTTACTCGATGAATCTTTACTCGATGAATCAATTGACAGAGAACTGACAGTACTATAAAAATAATATACATATATTACACATACATTCAACATACATATGTCGAAATTGTTACAATTTTCAATATTGTACGAATTTAAAAAAATGTTGCTTACGTTTCTGTGACTAATGTTGTTTCTAAAAATTGCATCTGTTCATAAAAACGAAAGGAGGATTTTCTTAATTTGTTAGCAGTTTCTGTATCGCAACCACTTGGAATATATGCTTTTATTTTTTTTCTAGCCTTTACATACGCATCCCGTAAGTCCTTCCATCTATTTTTTACCCATTTTATAGTAGCTTTACCTGCATGATTGCAAAGAAAACCATTATATTAATGTTACAAACATCTACTTGTCACATTTCTTGACCTACTATATGTATAAATATGTTTATGTAGATATGTAAAATATTATATTATTAAGTTACCTCCTCCCATTCCATTTGACACCTCCAGCCAGAGCGCATCTTTTTTTAAATTTGTTCTATCTTGTAATGGCAATTTGTGATTCCACAGAGCAGGTCTTTGAAACACAAGTTCAATAAGAATTTCGTCATTATCGCTTGTTTTTGAATCATTTTCGACAGGAACGACTACATCAGTTGGTATTGTTGTATTTATGTCCGAGTTTTCATCATATCGTGGAACTGCAAAGTAAAAGATTTTCATTAAAATTATGATAAATAAAGTAAACTAAAGAATTTTTACCAAATAAATCACATACCTATTCTTACTACTTGGTTTTCATCTACATGAAGTAGGTGGACGTCATCTTGATAATTTTCGAAACATTTGTGCTGCTGAATATTCATACATGAGCTATTCATTATGCAGCCACAATAACCACATTTTATTTTCTGTGAACATATTCATGCTTTATACATTAATATCTATTTGGTAATTATTTAAAATACTATATCTATTTTAATATTATATAACTATCAAATACTCAATAACTATCAATTATTAGCATCTTAATTATTACTTACTCCGTTCATAATTAGCCGACACGGCCACGCCGAACCAATGTCTTCCTAATGATCTCGTTGAAATCGATTAAAGTGAGCAAGTCTTAACTAGTCAGTACCAAGCAATGCAGAGGCCCGAATATCGGACCTCGCGCGGGGTGATACAACCGGCTGATGCAACCCCGAGGACCAAAACAGTCGGAACGTGTATGCAAAAACACAATAGAGGTTATCCGGTTATTCCGCGGATTTTAGCGGTAAAACTATAGCGGAACGGCTCGAGAAAAGCGGAATGGCTGTGATTGGCCGCGCTGGTTCCGCGCATTCCGTTCCGCCGAGTATTTCCGCGCTATGGGACGTCGCCCTCAGG